CCTCTCCCACCACTCAGGCTCCCGGTGACGACGATTTCTTTGATGACGACAACAACGTGGCTATGTTCCTGGTGCTACCCGCGATGACGCTGGTCTATGGGGGCTGCTGCCTCATCTATTGTGTGCACAAGTGTCGCCAGCACATGAAGAAGAGGAGGAGGAAGAGGATGAGGCAAGCCAGACTTGCCACGCATGAGTAAGGAGGGAGGGAGGGAGGGAGGAGGAGAAGAAGGGGGAGGGAGGGAGGAAGGAGATTACAAATAACATCTCCTCAGAAAGATATTATCACCAACTCTCCATGATATCTAAGATATCATTCTCCAACTCTCCATGACAATGAATATTTCTTCAGAAGGATATCATCACCCTGATATCTATATTATATTTGTGAAAAGTCGTCACTTTGATCGCCTAAAACTCCCGAATCATTTAGCTTTCGAATTTGACAAAATTAACGGTGGTTTAGAATTATTTAAAGGGTGTGCAGTTATATTAAGGTGTCTGAAGTCACTGTAGTTTAATTTTCAGTTTTTCATTAGTTTCGTTTAAATCTAATCTTAGGAAAGTCTGTCTTCTAAGACACCATTGTAAACAATTGAGGCTTCCGTTCACAAGCAGTGCGCACTAGTTCCACAATGACTTGAAGATCGATTCTTCTTAGTCCGTTGATCAAACGGGGTACCCAGCTAGTCTAAGATATCGTTCACCAACTTACCATTATAATATATCTCCTCAGAAAAATGTCGTTCACCAACTCACCATAATATATCCACAGAAAAATGTCGTTCACCAACCCCACACTGACTCTGGAGGAGGAAAGTCCTCCTCTCGTGTTCACCACAGGGCCCCGGGCTGGGAGTGGGAGTGGGAGTGGGGTTGGAACCTGTTCCCCTCAGACAACTGTGCTGACGCTGGAGAACATGGAGCAAGAGGAGGAGGAGGAGGATGTGTCGCTTACTGGAAGACAGAGTCGACAGAGGCCGAGGAGTGTCAAGTTTCAGGTGAGAGAGAGAGGAGAGAGGGGGAGGGAGGGAAAGAGAGGGGAGGGAGAGAGAGAGAGAGAGAGAGAGAGAGAGAGAGAGAGAGAGAGAGAGAGAGAGAGAGAGAGAGAGAGAGAGAGAGAGAGGAGGTAAGGAGGAGGAATTCAGCATCATCTGGTCTGACTCATTGATATTTCATCTATGTTAAGAATCGGCAAAGAAAGCTCACTCAACATTGACCGTAAAAAATCAGACTTTGCAAAACTGTGCAAAAATCAAAGAAACGTAAAGGTGTGTTCGCTTGTGCATTGAGGTACATCAGTATGTTTTGTAAAATGGACATATTTATATTGCAAAGTAAATGAATACTGTAAGAAGACAACATGGCTAGAAGCAGCAAGAACAACAGACACCATTGCTGCAACGCAAGACAGAGTGAAGTGGAGGTCCATGATCGCCCACACCAGTCGGCAAGGCACCGGATGATGATGAAACGAATAGAGAATTTTGTCTCTGCAAAAAGAATGTGAGGCGTGCTAACAAAATAAGTTACTTCTCGTAATCCTCAAATGGAGATATTGGCTAAAAACTGACACAAGGGTGAAATTTGTTGATTTTCTTTCCATGCCATATTCTTTAACGTGCCTTTTATTATTTCATACTTATAAACTATAAAAACTTCACCTATTCGCGTTATGAATCTATTTCCATAAGGCTTGAATCTGAGAAGTAACTCATTTTGTTAGCACGCTTCACAAATATTTAATCCGATAGTTTCAAACAGATCTGAAAACAGACCAGACACACATATCACGAAAAACTTGAAGTTATCATTAATTTGCTCATTATTGCTTTGTTTAGGAGTCTTTGGTTTTGTGTAGATCACGAACCCTTTGGTCATGGACTCTATTACATTTTGGACAAAACTTTCTGTCAGTTCGTCCCTAATCTCACTGGGAGTTACAAACAAAACGTCTGAATTGAGAGTCAAGTCGCTTTTCTTCAGCTGTTGTTTCACAAGGGTTCACATACCTGTAGGATTCACATAGGGGTTATTTACTGGTGACCACTCCAACGTTGGCAATATTTGGTTTTCTAATTATTGTCTAGAGGCATTGGCCCTGTGAGAAAGTGCTTTGTCATGCATGGAAATGTCTACTTGAATAACACAATGACCAAAATATGGGTGAGACACGACGTTCCAGCATTTGCGTGATATAGTCCACTAATAGTCAGAAAAATGATGGGCACAAATGATGTCATGCATCACATCCAACACCAAAAAATCAAATGGTTTGGACGTCTCAAGCGATTACCAACACACCATCCAGCACAACGTGCCTACATCAAAACTTCCAAAGGCAACAAGGCTAGAGGGCGACCGAGAAAGACCTGGATAGATGGAGTTAGGGAAATATTAACAACTCACGGCATCCCCCTGACCCAAGCTCCCCGGCTGGTGGGAGAGAGACGTCTCTTTCTTTCCGCGACACCCAAAATGGTATAAGCGGCGGATAAAAGTAAAATTAAAGTAAAGTCCACTAAACCAAGTCATCCGGTGATTCTCAGGAGGGTGGTTTTGTTCATTTCACACCAGACCGCTTCAAACCAATGGAAGTGTCATGGCCTCTGTTCCGTACTTACAGATAACTGTATGTCCAAAATCTAACTGACACCCCCCCCCC